TATGGCCTAATGAGAGTATTCATTTCAGAAGGGGCAATGTGTTTTGATTCATGGATACTTCATTGGTATTGCGACAATCTCCTGGTTGATCGACTGCTGATATTCAAAATTTGCTATATGGCACGGGAGAATTATAGAAGTATTCCTTGTGGGATGATCGTGTATGAGAGATATGTTAGACATTCGGCAGTGGAGTTGGGATCAGATATAGTGATTCATGTGTTCTATGGATTTGGAGACTGGGAGTTCTCAGGAATAGATTGTTTCATGGTTGTGGACTGTGAAGTCTTGGCCGAAACTAGCCAGATGATAGTATGTGTTATGATTCAGTCATTGTTGACTTTCGGAGGATTATTTATCTATTGGTGGGTGACCAGAGTTGACTTGGGGTCCATGGGTAGGCCCAATTAGGATGTGTATTCTACACCGAGTCTGACTGGTTGGCTCCATACTGCTATTGTCGAGTGATGTGCCATTCGGTTGATGTNGTGTATTTTATACCGAGTTTGATTGGTTAGCTCCATACTGCTATTGTTGAGTGATGTGTCATTCGGTTGATGTGAACTTATTCGTGGTCTGAAATGATATGTGAGTTACTCTTCTATGCTATGAGAAGTTGTGTTTCATTGGTTATATGCACACATGGTGCGGTTCTATTGGGGGGCTTATGGCAGAATTTGAGCGAGAGGAGTATTTGGGTATTGCATGATCGATTGCGTATTGGTTATGTTCTTTCAGGTTTTGTGTGGCATTTTTGTCATTTGCTTCTCTGTCGATATTGATTTTGAGCAGGGTGGCTCGAGGTAGATAATATGGACCAGCATTTGGATGGGGTCACGCATTGGAGCGAAGTTATGTTAAGGTATGAATCTTGCGTTAGAATCGTGTGATGGTTCTACGGTGTGTGATGAATTTTCATCATTTCTTTGTGGCGGTACTTGTTAATTCAGCGGGGCAGTTCTCTCATTTGAGTCATTTTTCCCATGACTGAATACATTTGAATTGTTGCGTATTGGCGCACAGATGGCACGGTTTGTTGCTCTGAGTTATATTGGTGCGGCATGTCTGTGGGATAGTTGTGTTTAATAATATAAGGTCATTAGACCTAGAGTGGGTACTATCAAGTTTGATTATGGTATATTCGGAAGGATAATATTGAAAGTCGGCTTAGAGAGTGAGTATGGTTCTGGTAGGGGCGAGAGAGCTCCATGACTTGTTGCTCTGATAAGGGGGTCATGAGATTTCTGCATGTTTCTTTCATTATTAGCAGTGTACGAAGGTTTTGGAACAAGGTTTGGTTCGATATGGGGTTTAATACTAATACTTGTTTGGTTTTGGAGTAGTTGCTGTGATCAGGAATGGTGTCACGAGCATGCGAGTTGGGTAATATGCTAGTTGATTATATCCGTGATTATATTTATGGCTCGATACAGCTCGTTCAGACTTATACAGTGTGTATATGTGAGATTCGGGTCTTGAAAAGAATTCTGAATATTAGAAATTTGGCTCCAAGGTTTTTGGGCTAAGGTTAAATTAATGATTTTTCTTGTTATGTTGTGTGGTCAGACCTATATAGAATAGGGTGACGTGATGATCACCCCTGGGTACGTGCGTGGTAAGATGGAATAATGATTTGATGGCTTAGAAATAACTCTTGGCACGTTCGAGGACGAACGTATGTTTAAGTGGGGGAGAATGTAACAACTCGGCCGGTCGTTTTGAGTATTACAGCCTCGTTCCCCCATTTACTGCTCAATTTATGATTTACAGTCGTTACTTATCGAGTTAGTTGGTTCGGGTCCGGAGGGAATTCGGAGTGAAATTAGACACTTAGTCTTATAATTGAAAATTTTAAGTTAGAAAAGATGATTGGATGTTGTTCTATGTGTAAACGACTTCGAATTTTGAGGATTTCAGTAGCTCCGTATGGTGATTTTGGACTTAAGAGCGTGTCCAGAAAATTATTTAGCGGTTCGTAGTGGAATTAGGCTTGAAATGGCGAAAGTTGAATTTTGGAAATTTTGACCAGGGGGTTGACTTTTTGATATCGGGATTGGAATCCGATTTTGGAAGTTGGAATAGTTCCGTAATGTGAAATGTGACTTGTGTGCAAAATTTGAGGTCATTCGGACGTGGTTTGGTAGGTTTCGACGTCGTTTGCGGAATTTGGAAGTTTAGAAGTTCTTAGGCTTGAATCCGAGGGTAATTTGGTGTTTGATGTTGTTTTGAGTGATTCAAAGGCTCGACTAAGTTCGTTTGTTGATATATGACTTATTGGTATGTTTGGTTGAGGTCCCGAGGACCTCGAGGTGATTCTGGGTGGTTAACGGATTGTTTGAAGTTGGAAAGATGCAGCTGAAGTTGCTGCTACTAGTATTTCCGCACCTGCGGAATGGGAACCGCAGGTGCGAGCCCACAGAAGCGGGTATTTGGGCGCAGAAGCAAAAGAGAGGAGGTTGGGCAGAGTGTACAAGTACGAAGGATTTGCCGCACCTGCGATGGCCACAGAAGCGTGGAATCGAGCGCAGGTGCGTGTTGTGTCCGCAGGCGCGATGATAATTCTGCACCTGCGATGATCGCAGATGCGGTTCCTTGGTCGCATGAGCGGGGACTACATTTAAGTGATTCTCCGCAGAAGCGGATCTTGGTCCGCAGATGCGGAAATGCAGTCACAAGTGCGAAAAGTCTGGGCAGAACAAATAAAAACGGGACTTCGAGGTTTTTCACCATTTTTAACATTTTGGACTCTGGCTTAGGTGATTTTGAAGAGGATTTCCGAGGGGAATTCTGAGGTAAGCTTCTTGTGCTTGATTTCGATCATAAATCTTGTTTCCCCATTGATTTTTCCCACCTAGATTGTGTGGGTTGAGGTGAAATTGGGAGATTAGGGCTTGAGAATTTGAGAGTGGATTTTGGGAATTTGGAGGGGCAAATGATGTCGGATTTTGATGAATTTGGTATGGCTAGATTCGTGAGTGAATGGGCTTTCGGGTTTTTTGGTTTTTGTCGGATTTTGAGACGTGGGCCCGGGGGCCGGGTTTGAGCCGATTTCGGATTTTGGGCTAGATTTCAGTAGTTTCTTGTGGAATTGATCATTTTAGCCAATATTGATTATCTCGTACTGTTTGTGACTAGATTCGGGGCATTTGGAGGCTGGTTCGAGAGGAAAAAGCATTCCGGATTAGGAGTTCTACGTTGTTGAGGTAAGTAACAGTTTTAAATCTGGTCCTGAGGGTATGAAACCTCGAATTTTTGTATCATGTGATTACTTTGGAGGTGACGCACATGCTAGGTGACGGGCGTGTGGGCGTGCACCGAGGGGATTGTGACTTCCCGTGAAACTGTAAAGTTGAGTAACTTGTTGTTAGTTATATGCTCTCTATGTGTTGTGAAAATTTGACTAAAAGTCAAGTTAGAAACCATGTTTAGGCTATATATTGGTACTGTTGGGACCCACAGAGGTCGTGTACATGTTGAACTATCTACTTAATTGTTGTTTTAAACTCACTCACAGTTTACTTGATTATTTTATCCCAGTCTCTATTGTTCATTGTTGATGCATCATATCATTGTTGTTTGGGCTGATTTCATGATTGTTGAGAGCCCGAGAGACTGAAGAGATTTATGACTAAGCGAGGCCGAGGGCCTGATTGTGAGATATTGATACTATAGCACGTGAGTTGTCTGTACAACACGTGAGTTGTCCGTATGGATCCTTATATTATACTATAGCACGTGAGTTGTCCGTGCAGCACGTGAGTTGTCCGTGCGGATCCAGATATTTATACTATGGCACGTGAGTTGTCCATGCAGATTATAGCGCTTGGGCTGTAGGAGCCTTTACGGAGTCTGAACACTCCCAGTGAGCGTGGGTACCCATTGAGTGTGAGTGCTGAGGGCGGAGAGCCGAGTAGTTTAGCTGTTGTGACGAATTGAGTGATTGTTGCCCTGAGAGGCTGTACTTGCTTTTCATTTGTTGTTGCACTTAGTTGCTATTTGTCATTATTGTGAAATTCTCTGAAAGATTTTATATCCGGATTACACGAACTTGAACTGTATAAAATTGATTTGACTTAAACTGCTGCATTTGAAAGCATGTCTATTCTTTGCTGGAATTACTGAAAGTGAACTATAACTGTGTAGCTCGTCACTCTCTTCAATTCCTTATTTATTATTGTTACTTACTGAGTTGGTTGTACTCATACACCCTGCACTTCGTGTGCAGATCCAGGTGTTCCCGGTCATAGCGGGTGTTGATTCTCTCGCACAGTCGACTGTTCCGGAGATTCAGAGGTAGCTGCCGTATTTCGCAGACCTTGCCTCTCCTTCCCTATCTCCTTATGTACTGCATTTGGTCTCAGACTATTATGGACCGTATTTTTCAGACTTGTATTCATATTAGATGCTCATGTACTCAGTGACACCGGGTTTTGGGAGTGTTTATATATGTATTTGTGAGTTTTTCTTTCGCTAAATTTAGATATTATGTTTCCAAACTTAAAAGATATGGTGGTTTATTGAGATTGTCAGCTGGCCTAGTATTGAGGTAAGATTTTGGATCGTGACATATATACAGTGAACTAAGACCGGAGATATGCTATCATATTTCACATCATAAAGAGACTTTAGGCTTACTACCTCCTTTCTAAGAGAAAAATGGAGTAGACTTTTTTGGAACGTTCCTCCTGTTCAGCAGTATATAAAATAGTTCATATAGAGATTCTTGATTAATAGCCCTGAATAAACTCCCACAACAGATTTGACACACCCAGATTGGGATTCATTATCGAATTTCATTGTGAATCAGTAACTTATGAACTGCTTTTTACAGTCTCAAAACTGTCATGACAAATTTCTTACTATGGTTCAGAACAAGGGAGTTTCGGGTGTAGTCTGTACCCTGTAGACTTACATTATGCTCAACTCTGCCTCTAGCAAAATGGCTTTTAAGAACACGCAGAGAAACCAAATACAGTTGCGTAAAAATTTGATAACATTACTGATTCAGTAACTAAATACATCTGCATTAAATTTCGAGAATATTAAGACAATATATCATTCCTGTTACAGCTGAGGGCAACTTCCTACAAAAACCTCTGCTGCAAATAAAATGTACAAGACTTTTTGTGCACGAAAAAACAGGTTTTACAGTGATTTCAATCAGTTCCAACCCAGAAATGACAATACACCTCTTTCCACCTTTTTCCAATGCAGAGCAGCAATTAGTCCGTCAGAACATCTTACTCTAGAGCACTAACAATGCAACATTAGTTAAACAATTTGACAGGAAAGACAGAAGATAACAAACGCCTAAAGGTTAACTTGCTGAGTGGGCAGCCACCTGCATCTTCTGCCAAGTTCTCTCTCCTTTCAACAGCATCCTTCAAGCGACAACTACAGTTGATCACAAAGCAGACTGGCAGTGCTGAGATGAGATCTGGTGCATTCACATAATGACCACTCTCTGCAAGGATATTTGTGGTACCTGAGCCTGATATCAAGAACTTCCACAAGATCCCATTTGCCTACTTAGCCTGTTGTACTTTGGGATAACATTTATAGAAATTATAGCTAGTTCATCATGAAGTATCAAGATCTCCTGATCATTCAATTGCATTCCATCCATATCGAGTTCAAAGTAGATTTTCAAATCACAAAGCTTGAATGTGGCCCCCATATCCGTAGTTCTTGAGGAGACCTTCATTTTGCCTCCAGTTCTCTTTCACCTTCACCTCAACCTGTTTGAACAAAAAATTTAACATGAGAATCACCTTTTCCAGTTGTACCTAGGCAAAAGTTGTGTTAGCAGGAAGTAGGAGGAAGAAGCTGCAGCATGTTAGTTCGAAGTATCACGATGTATGAGTATCCCAATGTCTTTGCAATCCATCCTACACACAGATTATCATGACACTTACCTCCAGAAAAACTTTCTTTTGCAAGAAATCTTCTATGTCAAGCCTTGCAGCGGTAGCAAGAAGCTTCAAAGCTTTTCCTTCCTGAAACAAATCAAGAGACATGTAAGTTTGTAACACAAGAACACATATAATCATGTTTAGGGAAAGCCTAATCAAGGACCTAATTGATCATGCTAGATCATATTAGGGAGTCTAACCCAGGACCTAGAGTCCTAGGATCTTGGTCTTTCCACTACTCATTGGAAAATGTGATTAAGAGAAGAGAATCTGCAACTGTTGCTGATTACTTTAGCATCTGAGTGCGAAATATGTCTGAAATTGGTCAATGATCAGAGTTTATGAATATAAACATTAAATACACGATATAGGACTCTATATATCTAAACACTCTCCTGCAAGTGTAACCTGTTTTTGGGGTTAACACGTGGACCTACAAGTGTGGGGAAGGGCTTGCCAAAACTTAACTCTAATACATATGTGAAAGAATCTAGCATCCAACATTAAGACAATGGGTGGAGTAGTACAAGACCTTTATAAACTCTCTGGATGATCTTTCATACCTATATGTGGGATGCTGTATGACTCAACAATATATAAGTGCAAACTCTAGATTAAGTTGTAGTCTAGCACGATAGATAAGGCAGGGAGAACGGCTAAGGAGAGGGTGAGGGTGGGGGACACTGCTTATTTGTATTATTCAAGGTAGCAGCCGCAATTACAGGATACATAGTTTCCAAAAGATGTAATGCCAACTGCCCCTATAAAAGAAGGATGACTCTAATATAGCATAACCGGAAAGGATGATTTTTTTTGGTTAAAAAGCTTATCTCAAACAACAAACACCAATGACACACAAAAACTGACTGATGAATATTACCTTCCCAATAAGGATGATCTTTTGAGTGTTCTTCTCCACTATAACTTCGACTTGAATGAAGTCTTTCGCATTTGGTCTAGTCTTGTAGCTAACTACATTAACCTGCGGCGAGTATGGGCATATTTAGAGGAAAACTGGAAACTGGTCATGTAAATTCCTACAGAAAGGAAAAATAGAAGCAAATATTATTTACCAATCAACTTGAGGGTTTCAAACAAATTTTTACCTGACACGCATAAGGAACTTCATTTCGGTATTGCAAAAATATCTTCTCTCTGACAATTTCAGCTACAAAAAATCTTTCGGGATGCTCACTAGCAATGTCCTGAAAGTAAGATGATGGGCTTGTTAATTGACCTTGGCAACTACTATACATTATTATAGGTGGATAAAGACTAAATTGCTACAAAACTTTTGTGCATTAAGCAATGTCATTTTAATATAGCATAGCACATGCAAGTAATGGGAAAAAGAGCAGTTACTTGTAAACATCATGCTGCATGCATATGAGGACACAGATAACCTTATTCCCAGGTTGAAGACCTGGAGTTCCCCACCCCACCCTGAGAACAAAGAAAAGCTCCACACCTTCCATATCTCTTAGTAAAACATAGAAAGGAGGATGAAAGCAGAGAAAAAGAAACTTCTATGGAAAATCAAATCCAAGACAATGACCACTAATACTAACAAAGATCAATATCAGGTATATACTGGTAACTGCTGGCTTGCTATACTTGCATACTCATTCTTTCTCAGTGTTCATGCTACACCATTCAGACATCCCACAGACCAAAGGGAAGATTCTTCTGGAAGGTATAAACAAACCATTCTTTTTTTTGTTTTTGTTGAGACATTACACCAATCAACTTTGATTCTACTTTGTTGCAACTCCTGCAGGTTTCATTTTCATACAGTTACACAAACTGAATAAGATAGTCCTTTCCCCTTTTGCTACCCTACTCTGACCTCCCCCCACTCGACCTATTCAAAGAAACGATTCTCCTTGATTGGATATAAACAACAGATTCACAAATGCACATTGTTTAAATGTATTTTAAGGTGTACTTCAAATGTGCATCAAGGCTGATTTTGAATTTTTATAGATTGAGGTACAAAATTATTGGAATTGTATCAGTTGTATAATATTGAGGAAGAAAAGAAGACTCACTCCATTTTAATGTCATCACTTTCAGATGGCATACAGATCATAGTATTTGATTTAAAAAGCAGAGTTCAAAAGAAATAGATAAAAACACCAGATGGAATCAAATTTACATATAGAAGTTTTGGCAGTATTCACAAGCATAGTTGCATGGAGAGATGAGGAATGCAATCTACCCACATTTTGAGAAGAAATTATCTTGCGAAATATAGATGTCATTTGTCTAAGGCTCAAATTGAGTGGTTGATTCCCAAAAAGATCTCTACAAGCTTAAATGCCACCAAAAATCATAAAGATTAAAGTTGAAGATGATTCCAAAGTCATGAATTTTTCCTCAACTTAAAGAAAGAAGTCAATGAAAAGAGGTGATGGGAACATAGACACAGTATATTTACACCTTGGGATAATAAGCAGGCCCAAGAGGAAGCTTAGATAATATCCAGTCCTTGATATCTTCTACTCCATGACCATACTTTGCACTTACAGGTATCACCTCGTCAACGTCCGTAAATTTCTCATACCACTGAAAGGAATAAAACATAACATCAGAAAATGCCAGAAGATTTAAACTACTTGACTAGTTGGTCTAAGTTCGTTAAAAGAATATCCAATCTATACAAGTTCAATTACAACTCTTCTCATATGTCTCAAATTCATAATTTGTCATCTGGCTTAAATCCATGTTCTACGTGACCTTTACAGCTATAAGAATATGTCCACCTTTAGACTTCCACACCAATATACTGCTAATTCAAAAATGGTTACTCCAAAATGCGAAATTTTCTTTCTTTTCTTTTGGATAAGGTAATCAAATAGCAAAATTTTGGTTAAATTCCAATGATAATAGCCACTGCCATGTAGTTGATGGATTCTACAAAGAAATCGCATAAGATGACTCAAATTGCTTATACTTTGTCTGACTAGAATAAGTAATGCATCTTTGCAACACTTAATGCAATGAATGATCTCATCATCAACAGGTACCTTACCTCAAGTTTCTTTGCAATTTCACCAGGCTTGATCAGGTCCTTCTTATTCAAGACTAACAATGTCGGTACTTTATATTTTAGGTCTCCAACACCCTCTTCCAACACTTCATCTATCTGAAAGCAGCAAATCTAGAAAAAGTTAGAAAGCGGTCATATTTTCCAGATGGCTATTTACAGCAAAGAACCATACCTTTTCAGGAGCCTTACATGTGTCTACAACAACAACCACACAGTCTGCATTAACTGCTGCACTCCGGACATTCTTCATCATCATTGAATCTAACTTGTGCATTTTCTTCTCTATGACACCGGGAGTGTCATAAAGTATCATCTGTATGGGAACACCCAGAAATGATCATGAGTCTGAGACAGGGGATTACAAAATGTCTGGAACAAATTGAAATCTATGGAACAGATATAGGAAGGCATATTGCAACAGCTAAAGTGCATATTGATAACATATGATAATCTCCAGACTGCATGAAAGAATCAAGCATGCTTAAGTAACAAGGATTAACAAAACAATCGACCACAGCTGTGCAGGCAGAGCGAGGCAAAAGTAAAAGACCAAAAAAGAGGTTTCTTCTAATTTCTGACAATAGTAAAATTTAAAAGAAACAAAAACCACCTGCTTGCCACCCATTTCACGGCTACAGGCAAAAGAGAAAAATTATCCAAAGGAGACCTACAGCGCGGTTGATAGATAAGGTGAGCAAGCCATCACTCTCAAATCTTTTTTTTCGAGAAAACTAGGTATAACTACACAAAACAACTTTCCGTTGCAATCAATAATAAGTAGCACAAAGCAATGTATAAGCACCATATTTTCACATGAATGAGCAGCCAAAGATAAATAATCTCAGACATGTTGCAGCTCAGCAGAAACATAGTACTCCCTCTATTCCCTTTTACTAGTCCACTATTGACTTGATACTCCTTTTAAGAAATCACTTATTAAGAGTTTCTTTTTACCAAATCACCCTATTAAAATTCTATCAACAAAGCAATGATTGACAAGTGTGAATGGTAGCATTGGAGGAAAAAAATAAATCTTACTTAATTTGCTAAAGCGAGCAAGTAAAAGGGAAAATTTATTTTTAATATAGTGAACTAGTAAAAGGAAACGGAGGGAATAGTAGTAGTAGAACAATCCAAACCTGATACTCTGGGCCAGAACAAATACCAAGAACTCGATGACGCGTGGTTTGAGGTTTATCAGTAACAATGGACAGTTTCTGGCCAACCATTTGATTGGAAAGTGTACTTTTCCCTACATTCGGCTTCCCAACCACTGCCACATATCCTACATATAAGAGCAACTTGGACTACATTAATTCAATTTTTCAAAAAAAAAAAATTAAATAAAGGGAAGGAGAAAAAGCAAACCACTGCGATGATTGGGATCAAGAGGAACGAAATCGAGCTCCTCCAATTCGTAATCATCAAGTAAAGATATGTTTCGGTCTGGTTTGACACTCAGTGACAGCACCATCGGCGAATCCTCTTCCTCTTCCCCTTCTTCTTCTTCTTCTTCTTCTTCTTCTGCTTCATTTGTGTCTATCACACCTTTAGACCTCCTCATGCTCATAATAATATTGTCCTTTTCTTCTGCTTCAACTTCTTCTTCTTCTTCTTCTTTGTCATCGAGAAAAGGCTCCGACTTGCGGCGACTATTGGTGGCGCGTAGCCGGAAACGGCCATTATTGCCGGGAAGAGAAGGTGAAAAGCAGTTACAGTGGGAATGGATAAGAGAAATGTAATTTCTTCTAGGAAGAAGAGTTGCTGGGAATAAAGAAAGGTTCAGACATAGCGCTCTCATTTTTGGATTATGAGTCACTCTACTCCTAGTACTAATTTAACCGGCCTTGTATTTCTACCAATTTTCTATTTTTCTATTTTTCTCTGTTCTCGATTTTCTTTTTTGCCATGGCAATATGTGCATTATAATGTTGTACTTTATGCCATTTCGTTGGTACACTTCTCTTGTTGCATTAAATTTGCAACCCCAATACCAAAAACCTTTGAGGTAAAATAAAAAACACTAACCAAATACCTTTACTCTAAGTCATACTTATTCCTCCATTCCAAATTAAATGCCTGTTAAGTTATCTTATAAAATTATACTCCATATATTTCAATTTATATACAGTAATTTGATTGACCACGGAATATGTGGAACGGTAATTTTTTTTGTAAAAGCAAATTAATATCTTCTTTACTACTCGTATAATATATACTCCATCTCTTAAAAGTATATTTACATAAAAGTATTACTACCTCCGTTCCAGTTTATTTGAACTTATTTCCTTTTTGGTCCGTTTTAAAAAAAATGACCCCTAAATTTGGAAATAATTTTGCTTTAAGTTACAATTCTACCGTTAATGAGAAGTTTTTATAACCACACAAATATTCTGGGGCCCTTTTTGAATTGTTTAGGACCACAAATTCCAAAAGTCTTATTTTTTTTCTTAAATTTTGTGTCAAGTCAAACAGGTTCACATAAATTGGAACCGAGGGAGTATCATTTATAAAGAAATGCCTAAAAAACAAGTAGCACTAAAAGTTAATGGCGAAGAGGGAAATAGGTCCATTATGTGGAAGTAAATTGTAGGAGTAATAATCTGAAATTGAAAAGGTAAGTTAAATGGGAAATACCAACGGATTTTGGAGTTAGTTAATAGAAAAAAAATAACTAAAAGACTAGCAATCCTTTTTGTACTTCAAATGCTTAATTACAAACAGTGGTTAAGCAGAAATCGGATTAAACGTCCAACATTGATGACTTCGAATGGTGAACCTCACATATTTTCATAGTCCCCCGCGCGCAATAACAAAAACAACCTAGTATAATGCCACTAGTTGGGTCTGGGAGGGTAGTTTGTACGCAGACCTTATCCTATCCTGGGTAAAGAGGAAGCTGTTTCCGATAGACCCTCGTCTCCCTCTCTCCAAAAACTTCCCACCTTGCCCTCCCGCGCGCGCACACACAAAAACATTGAATTTCTTCTTTTATTGGATTCCCTTGATTTTCCTTCGGAAACGGAGAATCGTGTTTAAGAAAACCGGACAACAAGAACAATAACTGCATAAGAAGAAAAAAGAAATCAAGTTTAGCATTTTTTCTGTTTTACTTTCTTTAATTTATTTATCATGAATTAATTTTAAGAATGCTAAATTATAAATGCAAGGAAAATCTGTTGTTTAATTTATTTATCCAATTGAGGAAAAACCCAGCTAATTAAGTTCTTAAATTTGGTTTCTACTAAACTATCGCAAGGACCACTTAATTCTTCCAGAATGAAGTACGTGACATCTTAGCTACAGTGTAAGTTCATTCCTTGACCTTATACATTTCATAGTTCAAACAATTGTTTCGACGAGAATTCCCAAGGCTGACAAATGAGTCTATTTCTCATCTTTGTACGAGTCCACACGAATCACTTAACGTGGTGCCAAAGTATATATGAGTGTATGACCATCCTTCTACTTTTCAAATTAAACCATAAGACATAGTCAACTCAACTGTATAACTGAAAAAACCATTTGACTAGTACATAGAAATAAGATTATATATAGTGGTTAACTGTTTTAAGGCAAGAGTAGAAAAAAGCATGAGTTCGAAGCCATTCCCTATGTTAATCTTCATCCTCAAAACCTGTATTATAATCTCCCTTTTAACTCTCAAGGCAGCTGCAAAAGAAACCATAGAAATAGGTGCAATTGTTGACTTCAATTCCCGTATTGGGAAGGAACAGAAAACAGCCATAGCTATAGCAGTTGAGAATTATAATCATGACAGTAGAAATCACAAGCTTATGTATGTTCATTTTAGGAACACCAGCAAAGATGCAATTCAGGACCTTTTCACAGGTTTGATACTTGACTTTCTTAACATTTATCAACTTGTTGTGTCTATATATGGTCTAGGACATAATTCTATAGATATTTAAGTTATATATTTGACAGTCCAAAGATTTCTTTCGTTGATATAGTAGGTTAGTTACCATTTTTGTTACATTTTCAATTAGTGGTTATCATAGTGATTTACTTGTTATTATATTTAAAATGAACTTATTTACACGATCAGCGTATAGAACTTAAACTCATTTCAAAATTATTATTTTTGTCTTAATAATTGTTGTGCAGCTGAAGATCTTGTTGACAAAAACAATGTCAAGATGATAGTTGTAGGCATGCAGACTTGGGAAGAAACAGCTTTAGTTGCTGATATTGGGAAAAGGCATCAAGTTCCAATTATCTCTTTTGTTACAGCTTCCTACACACCAGAGTTGGTGCAGCTAAAATGGCCTTTCTTGGTGCAAATGAGTACAAGTAGCTTGGAACAAATTAATTGTATATCTGCTATTGTTCGTTCGTACCAATGGAGGAGAATCATAATAATTTATGAAGATGACATGTATAGTGATTCTAGTATGCTTGCAGTTTTATCTGAAACACTTAAAGGTGATGGTGCAGAAATAGAGCATCAAGTAATTCTTCCACAAACCTCTTCTCTATCCGAGCCAAGGGAAGTTGTTCGACGAGAGGTTGTGAAGTTACTAAGGAAACAATCAAGGGTGTTTGTCGTTCTTCGCTCATCAGTATCCACTGCAAGTCATTTGTTTAAAGAAGCCAAGGAGATTGGACTTATGGGAAGAGACTCAGCTTGGATACTTGCAGACTCTCTCGCTGATCTCTTGGATTCTGTTGACAGCCCCTTTATTTCATCTATCCAAGGAGCTTTAGGAATCAACAATCACTATGCAGAAGCCACGAAGTCTTTCCAAGATTTTAAAGGCCAATTCCAAAAGATTTTCCGGTCTGACTATTCCATGGAAGATCACTCAGAGCCTGGAATTCATGCTCTAAAAGCATATGACAGTATCACAGCTTTTGCTAAAGCTGTGAACAATTTGGATACAAAGAGTTCCAATGACTCAAAGTTGCTGAAAAACAGAATTCTTTCCAGCAATTTCACAGGTTTGAGTGGCCAAGTTAGCTTTGTTGATGGAGCATTGTCACACCCTTCAACGTTTAGGATTGTAAACGTCGTAGGAAAGAGGTATAAAAGACTTGGCTTTTGGTCATCAAAGGTTGGGTTCTCGGAAGTTGTTGAAGCTGAAAACGGGGAGAGAATCCAAGTTAATGGTTCCCATACCATGAAGTCTAGTGAGGTAAAGTGGCCAGGAGAATTGAGCCGTGTCCCAAAAGGGTGGGCAATGCCTACTGATTCAAAACCATTAATCATTGGTGTTCCAGGGAGAACCTCTTTTGAGAAATTTGTAAAGGTCGAAAAGGTGGCAAATTCAAATGAAAGGAAGTATAGTGGTTTCTGTATTGATCTTTTCAAAGAAGTACTTAAAATTTTGGAGCAAAATTATACACTACCGTATGAATTTGAACCATATGATGGCTCATATCCTGACCTGGTTCAGCAAGTTATTAATAGGGTAAGCATTTTGTCTGATATATCCTAAATATACTATCCAGTTTTCTTATTGTCACCTATTTTTCCTATATCACAGTTCTTTGCTTTGGACTCATAAAATAATGGGGTATGTTATTTTTTTCTCCTTCTGTCAGAGGTTTGATGCTATTGTTGGAGACATGACGATATTAGCTGAAAGGATAAAATACGTGGAGTTCACACAGCCATTTGCAGAATCAGGGTTGACCATGGTGGTTCCAGTGAAATTTGATGGATCGGAGAAGGCATGGATGTTCTTGAAGCCTTTTACTATAAGCATGTGGATAGTAACAGGTTCTATCTTAGTTTACACAATGCTTGTAGTTTGGTTCATGGAGCATCAGTCGAATCCTGAATTTAGAGGCCGGTGGAAAGATCAACTTGGAACTGCAATGTGGTTTACATTCTCTTCACTGTTTTTTGCTCACCGTAAGTATTGCTATCCATCAATAATGATTTAATGTTAAATGAAGNCAAAATCAAACAACTTGTCATTTGTAATGTTAAATGAAGTGTCCTTGAAATGTTGATTTTTTCATTAAGGTTATATTTAGCTTATTAGCTTTGTTTAAATAGTATAAGTCGCAAGGAGATAACATTTTTATGTTGGCTGATAATCAGGGGAAAAAATCAAGAGCAACTACACGAAGATTGTAGTCGTAGTTTGGCTTTTCCTGGTCTTTGTGCTGACCTCGAGTTATACAGCTTCTTTGACTTCAATGCTGACTGTTCCAAGACTGGAACCAAGTGTGAAAGACATAAATTGGATAAAGAGAACAAACACAACAGTTGGATGTGATGGCGATTCCTTTGTTAAGGATTATTTGAGGCAAGTCCTGGAGCTTCAAAACATCAAAAACATTAGTAATCAGGAAGATTATCCAAAGGAATTCGAAAGTGGAAACATCAAAGCAGCCTTTCTTGAAATCCCATATCAGAAGGTTTTCCTTAGAGAGCATTGCAACCAGTACGTTGTAGCTGGTCCTAATTATAGATTTGGCGGTCTAGCCTTTGTAAGTAGACAATGCTTCTATTAGATAATAACTATGCCATTTGCTCTTTTTACTATCATGAATATAATAGTCCCTTCGTTATTTCTATAGTCTGTATCTTCGACTCATTTGCATAATTTGGCTAATGCAAACAGGTATTCCAGAAAGGCTCTCCGCTAGCTCGTGATGTGTCTGAAGCCATACTGACTCTAACACAAGATGGTACACTTAACAATTTGGAAGAACGTTGGTTTTCTTTATCAAGGAATTGTGACAATGTTGATGCTAGTAATGAAACGGAAAGTCTCACCTTTGGGAGCTTCTGGGGCTTATATCTAGTGTCTGGTGCAACATCTACTGTCTGTTTGCTATTTTTCGTCTGGCG